AGAGACACCCACCCACAGAGAAAGAAAAAAGACAAGAGACACCCACCCACAGAGAAAGAAAAAAGACAACGCTGTCAGTCAGACAGCATGACCTGCCCTGCTCTGTTCTGATTGGGTAAAACTTTGACTGTGGTTCTCTGTATTGGGTGAAAGAACCATCAGTTTAATCCCTAGATGGCTTTAACAAGTTTTTTTCCCCATTCATGTTTACAATGACGAACACCCGCTGCTTTTTTCTTGGTTGTCCACCGGACAACTTGGAGGTGGGATCTGGTTGTCCGAAACGAAAATAGGTTGTCTCGTACAACCTGAACAATGGTTATGTCGACCCTTGCTTTCTGTCCTTGACACACATGCACAGTAGTGGTAACTGGGGTAGGCCGTTGTAGGGGTTAGCTTATGGTGAAATAAGCCTTTCTACATATCTCTCATAACAAGGTTATGAGGAAAGTTTTACCAAGGTATTTTCTCATTACTTTAATAACTTGACTGTGCGAAGTGAAAAGTGACACAATAAGGGAACATTCAGACGAGTTCAAGTTGATTCATAAAAGACTTGCAATCATTTATTTACACAAATTGAACAGATCACAAGTACACCTGATTGTGGTTATTCCAATAACAAGCTTCAAAGTTAAATGAGATAAAACTCGTGTCCGAATTTTAATTCACATCAACTCAGATTACTTATATAGAACAGTAAAACGTCAGTTCTGATGTTAACAACCAAACAATTTACTGGCACTCTTTAGCTTAAGTTTTGGCAAATAAAGAATAATGAAAATAAGATTAGTGTTCTACTACTCTTATTTTATCAAGTGTGGTACAACCGGATCAGCACGTCCTCTCTGCGCTCAGATTTCCACATGACACTTCACCCGGAACACGCTCAGCGTTACCTGGTGATGGCTTCTTAAGCAAACCCTGGGTAGACTCTATCTCACCTCCGATCAGTCAGGGAACTTTTTAATCGGCCCGCTCACTGTTCCTCGGCGAAAAGTGTTATTTTAGGCAACTTTTCGTCTGCTTTGATCTTCGCCAGAAAGATTCAAGCTGATGCATCCGGTTCCTCCTTTCAAAATAAAATCTCCCCGCGGGAGTTATAAACACTTGGAGACTTGTAGTCTCGGGTGGGACATACGGCTGCGTGCCGTTGTCCCAGCCTTTAGATCCCCCTAATTGGCTTATGGGCAAGACCTAACGGGCCAAGCTGGCTTCTCTTGGGAGAAACACAACGTTACTTCCCAGTTCGGCATCCAGGAAGAAGTGTTCCGTCACTCAAAGGCGTCCGTGTTAGTAATAGAAGCGGACGACTTTGGTTCCGCCCTCAGGCTTAGAATGAGTCAAGAAAAGAAGAAAGATAAGAGCTTTGCCTGCCAGGCGCCAGCCAAGGTTGAATTCTGTGGTTGTTTTTAACAGAATATGATAACATTTCTTTTCATCTTTTCTTCTGGTAGACTCTAAGAGAAATCACTGTAAAACATTTATGATGATTAATTAACATTTCTGTTTAAATAATCAGTCTGAACCTTTTGTTAGTCCAGATAAATGAAAGATTTTCTCGAGAAAAACTCAATTATACTTGTTCCCAGTAAAATAAAAACAGTGATTTATTTAAAAACACAATGAAAACATGGTAATGATTTTCTCAGTGATTTTTTTTATACCATTAATCTTTTAGGCCTGATAAAAGAGTAGAAGTGATTCCACTTTCTTTGTGACAGTCATTATATGATTTAATAAATGCATAAACATTCTTAGTTAAACAACAAATGAATCACGAACAGATAAGATTGTTCTGTCCATTATCTGATTAAGAGAACTGAGGAGTTCTCTTCTGGGTTGAAATGACCTGTCATGGCCTAAATAGAGTTCAGTTTGTGACAGAGTTCCTGCCTTCTCGTCAGGCCTGTCCGAGGCCTGCTTCGAGGCAGTAAATCTTGTTTCTTCACTCGAGGTGACCCCTACACCGTGGACGTCACAAGACATTATACAGACCGGCTCTGGTATCATGGCTACCTGACAACAGAGCTCAAAGTGTGGGATCATTTTAAGAAAATGAAAGAGAAACCTGTGTAATATCTGCAGAGCAGAACTTACCTTCCACAGCAATTATTTTTAGTTAGCATATAGCTAAAATCTAACCATGGTTATATAATAGCAGCTGCATTCTGACGTGATAAGCTCTATGTTTTTTATTCAATTAATGTATGATCTGATTAGTCGACTAATCGTAAAAATAATTGGTGATTAATCGATTATAAAAATAATCATTTGTGGCAGGCATACCTCCCACAGACCAAAAACATGACTGTTAGGTTAATTAATAACTCTAAATTATCCCTAAGCGTGAGAGAGTGAATGGTTGTTTGTCTCGTTTGTCTCTTTGTGTGTCCCTGTGATGGACTTGCGACCTGTCCAGGGTGTACCCCACCCCTCGCACTGTGACTGCTGCACATATGGGCATCTGTGACCCCGTGAGCCTGAAAGGATGAAGCGGGTACAGAAAATGGATGGATGGATGGCAAGGTTATAATAATTTAGGATTTTTTCAATATGACCCCTGCACACGAAGCAGAGGTCATATTGTTTTTGTACAGTTTATTATTTTTTGGGGGTGAGCATATAAAAACTGTGCAAAAAATGAATTTGATTCATGCATGTAATGGAAACTATATTGAGTAAATGAAAATGCAGCAAAACAAAGACTCGGAATTGGGTGAGGTCATTGAAAGGTGAATCTCAGAAAGAAATTTGCAAAACACTTTTTTAAAATTTTTCCCAAAGGAAAGGGGAAGAAAACGTGAAGCAATTCACTGTAAAAGTGATTGACACAAGAAACCCACAGCAGCTCAGTCCTACAGGTTCTGCTCCTTCCACTTGTATGGACTAGGGCTGTGTATTGGCAAGAATTTGGCGATATGATATATCCCGATATATTGCGATACTATAAGCAAGGCGATATATTGCGATTTTTCTGTCCAAAAATTCTATTAAATAAAAACCTCTCACAGGGCAAAAAATGAAAAACCAAAATTCATTGTCTCAGAAAATTCTAATATTACTTAGACATGTTTTTGATACATTTAGCTGTGTTCTGCTTTGTATGTATTTTATTTTATTTGTTTCATATTTCTTATTTCATCCATGTTTTCAATTATTAGACTAAATTTGACAATACCTAGTTTGAAAATATATATTTTGCAGCTTTTAGTTTTTAATATTAATTTACAATATGGTCACCCAACACTTAACAATAGCCTCTACCTCAAGAGGTAGAGGAGCCAAATGTCTGGCTCACTGCTGCCAACTAGTGGTCAGAGGTTGAACTACAACATAAAAATGAACGACTGGCAGGAAAGTTGACATTTTAAACCTTAATAAAAAAATCAATACAGGGCTTTAGAACATCGATACAGTGTCGGGACTGTATATGAAATATCACGATATTTCATGTATCAATATTTTCTTACATCCCTAGTATGGACCTGGGGTCGGATTTATAAAGCTTGCATACGCACAAAGCGAGCCCAGAAACTTGCGTACGCCACTTTTAACACAAAGGTTGTGTTTTATAAAACTCAACCATGGTGTGAAAATGTGTGGTCCTTCAGCCAGCTCTGACCCATGCGTACGCTCATTTTGGAGACGTGAAACTGCGACACAGATGGTGAAGTGAGGAATTAGAGCCACACTGTGTAATGATCACTGTCAGATATTTAATTTACCTTCAGAATCAGACTTAGATTTTTATTTAACTTTATCATCAGCTTTATTAACAGTAATATTTGTGCTTCTGCTGCTGAGCCTGAATCTTTGAAATAAAAACTTAAATCTTAAATAAAAGCTCACGCATCTCCATCTATCTCCTTCCTCCTCAGACGACCCTCACACACACACCCCTCCCGGACAAGAGACATTTCAACAGCACAACAGCAAAAGTCACGCTTTGGTTAGTTGCGCAGGGCGCACCCACCCTCACCAGTGTGATGTCATAAAAGTTCAGTTTTTAAAGTCTGTATTTGTCACGAGCGCAGGGGTGTGAGGAGGTGAGGAGACGATCAGCTGCAGACAACAGAGCAGGCAGGAGGGGGAGGATGGTGGAGAAGAGCGGTGAACTTATTTCTAACTTTATCTGACTGATTCTGATATTTATCAGACAGAAGTCGTTCTGCTTCTGTCATGTGACTGTGACAAGCATTATCTCTAAGCATAAACTTTCTTAGTTAAATGAAAAATTAATCACAAATAATGGAGATTATTCTGTTCTTTATCTGATTAAGAGGGAGAGAACGTCTCTTCCATGGTTAGAATGACCTGTCACGGCCTAAATTAAGTTCAGAGTGGAACAGAGTTTCTGTCTTCTTTGAAGACCCGTCCGAGGCCTGCTTAGAGGCAGAAACTCTTGTTTTCTCACTTCAGGTGACCCCTACAGTATTTATAAGTCATCTATTAGGGGAGCCTTATTGTAAAGTGGTACCAGTTAGGGTTGGGCATAATCG